TTTATTTTAATATAAAAATTCATAAATAGTTGCAACTAATTAAAAATTTTAAAAATAATTATGGGAACCATCTTTAGAAATAACAGTTTATTTATATATAAAAACTAATCTTAATAGTTTTATTATTATAATTAATATAATTGAATAATAATTTAATATTTTGCTTTGTTTTTTTTTATATAATAATGTTAATAATAATTTGGTTATTTCAGTTATTTCTTTTTTTATATAAAAGGTAATAATATAATAAATGGTATTATAATTACATAAAATTTAATATATTGATTAAATAATACCCCTCCCCTTATATTAGCATTGGAATTGTGTTAATAATTCACATTATTCTATTATAATTTTAACCAATTTATAATTAAATTATATTAATTTTTTTATAATAATTACTATTATGCTGATTTATTATTTATTATAATTGTTTATCTACTGTATTAAATTTTACTTAAATTATATTTGATCTGATTTTATAAACAATATAATGCTTAAATTAAACTTTTTATTTTAAAAAAAATTTCAATCACAAAGAATTCATATTATATTAAATATTTGTTTATGAGTTTAATATATTGATTTAAATTTTTATAAGATATCAAATCAGTTTTTTTGATCAAATAATAAAGAAATTTATTTTTAAAGAAAAGTACCCTATACTCCTGAAAATAAGCACCCTTTTTGCTATATGGATGTCTAATTTTAGGTGATTTTTTTTAAATAAATTATCTCTCTGAAGCCGCATTATAAATTGATCTAAATTGATCAAAATGATTGTCTAGTTTATCAAATTTGTGAAACGTACTTTAAATAATATGAATTTAGTAATGCGAACTTTACAGAACCTGTTTAAACCTGTTTCATATTACATGAAGAAAAAATTCCAAAGCCACAAAAGTTATTCGTAAAAAAACTAACTGAAACAAACTTGACCAAACTATAAAATATAACTGTAAATCTTATTCCATTAAACAAAAAAAAGAAGTTGCTGATTATGCTAAAGACAATAACATATATTACCTAATATTTTAGGGGATAGGGCACAATGGTTTTTTGGATGCATTAGTCGATCCTTTGAAAGGTTGGAATCTTAATGAATATTGAGCGCATTTCGTTATTTCTCACAGTTGATAGATGAAAAACATAAATGGATCTTTACAGGCAATTACATTATCCAATAATTAGCTGATCCTGAATTGCAAAATTATCCTTGTATTATCTTTATTTTGCGATACTTTCTATAAATACTGCGCTTTATTAATTTTAAAAAGCCACCTTGACTAGCCAAATACAATCAATTATACTACTTGTATGACCTAAAAATTACGTAACATTAGTTCACCTTTTTTAATAAATACTCTGAGAATTTATCGGAGAATCAAAAATCTAATGAGTAATGATAAAACCGTATTAATCATTTCTTTCGTGTACTGATGCTTATTAATTTTGGTCTCACTACAAGCCACAAAAAGTTTATGCAAGAGTCTATATCACGATATATTCAGAAAGATATATAAAGTATATATACATTTTCAACTTCAAACTTTCTCTTAAATATTTTTTCACTTTTATACCTTTTTTTACAGTGATTTCATCGAAATGAATACTTCATTTAATTGTTATATTTTAATACTCTCAATTGACGATTCTGAAACTATTTTGGTTAATATTTACAAAGACAATAAGAATAAAAGATATTTTCAAAGTGATAAAGCAAAGATCATCTTAGCCAATTTCAAAGTTTCACATCTCAAGAAACATATATGTAATATATATGGTATTAAAAAAGTTGACCAATGTAAAGTAAAATTCTGAAATATTAATGTTGATGCGGAAAGGATTGAAAATAATAATATTTCAACCAAAGATGATGTTACACATAAACTTGAAGGACGAAAAATAAGAGATCATGACTTGTTTAATGTGTATTTTAAAGTTGAATTAGCAGATCATAATAAGATTGAAATGGGAAACATATATATTATCGCTATCATCCCTACCATTGTAACACCCGCCACTGGTAAGTGTCTCCCAACATTTTATCTCTTGAACAAAAAATTAGCAGTAACAAAATATCAAGTTTGGTCTGATCACTTTTTTTTCGCGTTAAGTAAGTCTCTTTCAGCAAGGCGTTCCACTAGGTACAGTATTCGCAGTTAAATTACTAATAATGTTTTTAGTTTTATATCCTAACCCACCACTATTAATACATGTAGACGTGATTGATTAGACTAATGTTAATTCGATCTATAACTGAATAAAAGAGTTAAAACGACATGATGAGAATCAGAAGCCTAAGGTATGTTTTGTTTCATACCTATTTCCTTTGGTTTTCTGATCACGTACTAACTTTATGTTAGCTTATAAGTTTCTTTGATGCTGAATTTCCTTTACAAGGGCGAGATGAAACTCTTCAAATATTACTTAATGGAAATCAAATGCGAAATGAGATTCGATAAAGACTTGATTATATCAGGAAAAAAGATATGACAAGCAACTCCATCATATTCCCATCCTGGCTAATGGGCCAGGTACAGGAAAAAGTCGATTCCTCCAAGAACTTCTGACTCTCTTAGAACAACATCGCAATCACAATGAACATGTACTTGGTAATTCACAAATATTAGCTATAAATATTACATTTAATATAGTTATTAATGCATCAAATGAAGATACATCATCTGGTTCAGCATTAGTTGCACTGCAAATTCTTTATGAATATTTTATCTCTGGTAGTGAAACACTATACTTTAATGAATTTAAGAGAATGTGTGGTAAAAATTGGAAAACTTTTGAAATTGCAACTGCGTGTGATATTGTTCTTAAGGATATTGGTGGCAATATAGGTTTTTTTTGTCATTGGAATTGATGAGCTAAATGTCTTGCACAATCTAGCAAAGGATAATCAAAGACCAGTTCATAATAATGTACATGCTATCGGAGGCCTAATTACCAATTCAAAAAAATTTGCTATATGTACCAATCTTGGCCGGAACTATTCAAGGTTCTCTTGAGAGATTTATTCAGGAATCGATATATGATCTTTTACGTCTACCGCTCCATCTTCTTTCAGATGAAGAAGTAGAGAAAATTACCTTATGTATGAAAGAAAATCAAGAACTGGCAGGCTATATCAATTACAACAAAACCTTTCAACGCTTTATTAGTGATATTGGTGAACAAATCTGAGCTTTGGAAATTTTCTATAAAGAATTATTATGTGTAATTAAGATGAATACACATGTTATTGATTATAAGTTTGTTTTTCAGCTTGTTAATCACCGCCTTAAGAAAAAATATCCATTTAAAGACTTTGCAACTATTATGAAACCAGTGGTTGCATATGCAATCCTAAACATTCCTGTTGATGAGGATGACAAATTTGAAATTGGTAATAATAAAATCTCTTATATTGATCTCGCGTCAAAGGGCATTATAAATTTGGAGGATACATGTGATGATCCTAATGAGTCCTATGTACGTATGCCGTATATATGGGTTTGGATAATAACATCAATCAAGGAATTCAAAGCAGGTCGATTTTGGGATGTTATGATTAATCATAAATCTCATACCTTGTGGCAGAGTTTTGAAGAATTTAATATGCGATTTTGGGTCCTACGTCTTCAACTTTTTAAAGAGTTAAATGATTCAGTAACATTACGAGATCTCTTCAGAGGTGCATATCATAGTGATCAAGGAATCTCTCTTTTGGATCTTGAATTTCGGCTCCCTACAGTAAAAGAATATTACATAGAACTTACAAATCGATATCCTTACACAATGAACAATGAGCACTTATTGCTTGGCACAGTATTTAAGAATGACGAAGGAGCCCCATGGGATATCTTTCTTTTTCTGGATGATTACCTTATTGCCATTCAGGTTAAATCTTCAAATGCCACAGCTGGACAGCCCCAAACCTTATCTAAGAGAATAGTGGAATGCGAGTACAAGAAAGTTAAAGATGCATTTGAGGTTATGGAGAAATCATTTGAGATCGAAAGTCCCATTAAACATTGGGTCCTTTTTATCTGCACCAATGGACCTAAGACAAGAAATTGTTTGGAATCTTTAGAAAGAAATTGTTTCGTAATAGATCGTGAAAACTATAAGCACTTCTATGGGTATACTTTTTCGACTCGTGCTGAATTTTCGGCAGGTATGAGTTGATATCTTTGTGTTATATAATTATCTTTATAATCTTACATTTGTTGTATAGATAACGACCAATTGGATGCAAATATTGCGGAGGAATACGAATTAAGAACAATTAGTGGAATAGGAAATGCAATTGCATCTGCCATCAAGGATAAAAGACCATTTGAGGATGAAAATGATCTTTATGATAAGGTTAAAAACATTCCTATGGAGGCAAGAAAAAAAATCAAGGTTACGAAAAATGAATAGAACAAATTCGTAGCATTTAACTGTAATTGTAAACATAGCAATTTCATGTAATATTTTTTTAAACTTTGCAATATTGCATACAATAAAAATCTGATATTCCGATACAGATGATGTTTTATTTTTCGTATAATATAACGAAATAAATGGAATGTATGATATGCTTTTCAAGGAAGTACGCGGAGACTAGGTTATTTAATGCGAGTCTCCCAGCATCAAGTTATTTCTTTGTTTTATAGATTTCTACAACTAACTTGTTTCTATCTATATCACTAACTACACCACCATAATCTTTCTCTACCTGATTTCTTATCAATATCTACAAATCTTATACCCGCACAGATTATGTAAAATAATATTCCCCGATCCAAGTGGGACTTTAGGTCTCGTTATTTTATTTATCATACATCTCTATATTCCACGCTTGATAAAATTTAACTTTTTCGATGAATAAGAATTTTGGGGAAATCAAATTTTTTACAAAATTTGATTTCGTTTAACGCATTTGGAATCGAAATTTCTAAAACAACAAACGTATAGATAGATAATTCGATTACTACTTTTTATTTTTTTTTTCAATTTTTTTTTTTTTTTTGAATACAAAAAAAATGTGGGTTAAAGATAATACAAAAAAAATATGAAAAAAAAAGGAAATATGTACAAAAAAGATTTTTTTCTTTTCTAAAAATCACCGAAAATGTCCGTCTATGCCATCATATTAAATAATTTTTGACGAGATATTATAAAAAAATTTAAATCCCCTTTTCTTAATATTATTAAAGGTTAAATGATTAATTTAAGAAATAAAAAATAAAAATCATATTAAGCAATTAATAAAGCTTAGGATAAAAATCTTGACGCATAGTTGAACTGGGGAAAAAATGGAAAATTTTACGCAAAAAAAAAAAAAAAAAATTAATTTTCGATGATAATCATCGGAAATTAACGTTAATGAATTCAGCTCGAGAAATAATCCATGGATTCTCTCATATCAGCAGCGGATTTGTCATCCAAGAAATTTCTTCCGATGACAATTTCTCTCATGATCATCACACTATGACGAGAACGCTCAAAAGTGACTTTAATTTGAAGTTTATTCTTGATCAACATAAACTTTGTTTTACCAGAAGGAGGGACATTTGAAGGAATTTTAACGATAGCATTTGCTTCGAAAATGGTATCCGGACCCATTGGGGATATCATGATTTCTTTACCAGAGATCATATGTTTTGGATGACGCTTTTCACGTTGCACAGGAATTACACCTCGATCATCCACGGAATAATG